CCCCGCCTCTTCCAAGGAGCCGGGCCTAGTCCCAACCCAGAGGTTCCTCACGCTGGTCACTGGGGGGTGTTTTGGTTCGGTTTGTTTTAAATAACGCAGAGGTGCAATACTGCTCTCTTGGCCTGCCAGGGTCTGGGGAAAGGCTCCGCAGAGGCAGCCCCAGGCATGGCCCATGCAAGCGTTGGGGGCGAGATGAGCAGACCCCACGCACGCCTCTTGCTCCATCCCCTCGTAAATCGGCAGCTCGGACACCAGCCTGCATCCCAGATTGGTGACGGATGCTCTGGCTGCCTCTTGCTTCTCCCTATGTGTGGTGTCCCACTACCAGGCTTCCTGCTACTCCAGGGCTTGGTAACTTAGAACCACTCCACAAATGCAACAACAACAAAAAAAAGTACAATCCTCACGCTCAGGACTCACTAAAACACACCCACCAGCAGGAGCAGAGGAGGGGCCTGCACTTTTCCTGCACACAGGCATTCCACCTGTGCTTGCAAAATGACCAGGAGGATGGTCTGAGAACCTCCAAGCAATCCAGCCTGAGAATCATCCTGTTTGAGCGGCTCCACAGGTCACCCCCCGATGTCCCTTGCGGCCACCCAACTGCTCTTCGGAGCCAGCACAGCCCATGCAGAGGACACAGCTGCGTGCAGGGCTGTCAGGGCGAGCGCATGCTCCCAACTCGTCCCCGAGAAACCCCACACATGAGCTTTGCTTTCATGTACACAGCTCCTCCATCGCAGCTCCCACGGTGTGCTCCAGGGAGACAGCAAATCCGTGACATCCTGCACTACTGTTTTTTCCTCAGCAAGGAAAAATTCCAGCTCTTCGATGCTACTTTGAATAAAAAGCACCATTAGCTAGGAAGACAATAAGTACTCCTGTACTCTGTTTCCAGAAATACATCCCGGCCCAATGCATACACAAGCACACATCACACGCCATAGTTTACTGCACTAGAAAACCACACTCAGCAACTCCAGAATCTACTTCTATGTGAAAGAGAAGGTTCTTTTGGTCTGTGGGGTTTTAATAATTTAGCTAGAAATTTCAATCAAGATATTCTGCAGTTTGGACTTCTGAATTAGGTGGACAGATGGCAACTCATCAATCAAAACAAAACACACAACCTAAGGTAAGGTCACTGATGACTTGCAGCTACAAACAAAACAAAACAGTGCAGTACAATGAAGTTCTCTGCTGGCTACGTTTAGCATCCACAGAAAGTCTTAAAATATTTCTCCCCCTTCCATTATTTCTGAAGACCTTTGAGGGAAAAAAAAAAAAAAAAAAAGGAAAAGCTCTTTTGGAGTTCTTTTTCTAGAAATCAGCAAACCCTAATCTGAATTTCTACAGAGTGAGTCACATCTCTGTTTTAAGATGCCTTCCCCTTCCTCCCTCCCTGCAGTTTCCCTCCATCCCCCACGATGGGCCCTGCCAGCCAGAAGAGAACTTCATCTAGAATACACACAATGTGATTATAAAACGTCAACCAAGTGATCAGCCATTGCCACCACACATCAAAGTCATCCCGTGAACAGCAGACGGACGAGATGCTTATGGCGTTACGATTAATCGCGGGCAAAGGCCACAAAATACAACGAGCATGGTCAAACCTAAGTCTAGAGCCAGCGGTGGCCGCAGGAGGGACTCGGGAGGGCCGTCGCAGTGCAGGAGAGCAGCCGGACCGCCACGCTAGCCCACGCTCCTAACTACGTGGCACGACGCCACGCTGCCCCGGCAGCCAAAATTGAAAGACACAGAACAAAAGAGATGGTTACAGAGCCATTGGCAGAGGAGATGCAGGCTCGGCTTCTGCTTTTGCTGTGCAAAATACGAAGGACAAAAGCAACCCATTTTTGGTGCAGTCCTGGGTGGAGATGTTCAAACGCATCAAGGGAGGCTTGCCTTTTTAGTACCCTTGGCTCCCGGGAGGTGCTGCCTGCTGAAAAGAGTCGACTTCTTAAAACCTGCCATTGCCCGGTTCTCCCCACCACACTGGGAGGGCTGCTGGGGGCGAGCTGCAGGGCAGGGATGGCTGGCGGGCAGCTGCGGCCCCAAGGGCAGCCAGGAAGAAGGGACAAGTCAGATGCCCGTGTGTCCCACACCTCTAACCAAACCGCAAGGAGAAGGAACGAGCTAAGGAGGCCCTCTCCCCTCATCAGCAGCTCTATCTGGCAGAGCTCATCTCAGAGCCACCTTATATATTTGATTATTTTATACCAGATTTAGACCTAAAATGTGTTTTAGCTGCACTTTGTCAGCTCTCTCCCATCCTGCAGGACTTCCTACACATGAACCACGGAGCAGCTCCTGCAAGCTGCACAGGTCTGGGAGAGCAGGGAGCAGGAGTTCCTGGCCCCCTTGATCTCTGGGAGCTGCTTTTGCTGCTTCTGGAGAGGTGGGAGACAACTGCAACCCTCTGTCAAGAGGGAGCCAGCATCACACAAACACTTGGGAAACAAGGAGGAGCACAGGGCTCCTGGCAGCATCACAGAGATCAGCACACAAATGCCACTGCCACGACCAGCCTTTTATTC